ACTTTTGTTTCTAAGCCCCCAGATCCTTTGTTGTAAGTCAGTGTCTGTTTTACTTGCCATCTCTTCTGCTGCTCTTCCTTTCCTAAATTATGCCTCTAATTTAGCTGTGGTCAATCTAAGTTCTAAAAGAATGACAATTGTAGTTAATCAAAAAGAAAACAAACATGGAAACATGGGTCACCCTTGTAACAGAAGTCACTCTAAACTGTTTTGTGAGTTCCAGACCAAGCATAAAGGAACGGACTCTGGGTAACTCAGTGTTTAAGCTTGGTCACCTCATCACTATGTGACTAAAAGCCTAAAATTTAAGGAGCTGCTTTCTACTGTGAGTCATCTGGTGAATGAGCTGGAAAAATTGGGAAGCTGTGTGACACTGTTGTTTCAAAACTGCACAATTACATCTTGGAGTGTTGTTCAGAGGTATGTATTTAGTGCTGACCACAATTAGTAGATGGATGCAAAGAATCATGTTTTCCTAAAGTACTGCAGAAGAAGTGCTGGAAGCAGTTTTCTTTTCACCTAACTTTTATTGCCTTGTCTACATGGCACTTCCTCCTCCTGTGAATTACAGAATTAATCACAGCAGTGATATGCAGGCAGAGATGTATGAAATCTTTGAGCCAAGATGGGTGCTTGACATAATGAGTCGTACAGTGACACCATGGAACCCATCAACTGTGATCATCGCCTGAGCTCTGAGAGCAGCCTGAGAGTTTGGGATATTTTCTGTAAACACACACATCTTTATTTTTCCATGTGTTTTGCAAACCCGTATGGTGGAAGGCTTTTCTCACTTTTAGCCTGCAGACTTTTATTGAGTGTGGAAGAGAGTTTATAAATAGGCCTTCTCTTTTTTCTTTTAATGCCATTTAGATCTCATTTTAGCAGAGTTTATACATAAGCTACATTTGTTCATTTTATTGGCTCAAGAGGACAGCTGTCTATCAAGTGTTCTTGTTTACATGATCTTCTATAGTAAGCAATGTTTAGAGACCTTCTGTGGGTTATCAGTAGCTGTATATAAATAATGACATATTGGAGGAAATCTGTGATATTATTTCACGTGCATTTTCTTTCCCTGCACTGAAGTTCTCTTGTAGGCAGTTGTCCAGAACAAGATTCGTTCACCTCTAAAATGTGTCCCAAGCTCTCTTTGGAATCCCTGTGTTAGACCCTGGCAGACAGTGCCCTAGGTTTGCACATATCATATGCTGGCTATCTGTAGAGGACTGCATTTCAGCCATAATGAATTAAGTGATTTCTTTCTTCAAAAGCAGGAGACATTTGACAAAAAAAGCTACAAAACACAGTGCCAAAGAGGGAGGTATGTGCTGTCAAGAGGTGTCAAACTGACAGAGCTGGAGACCTAAACCTTCTGCTCCCCAACAGGGAAAAACAGATTTCAAACCGCGTCAAACACTAGAAGTACTGGCAGTGGAAGCAATCATGTATGTTAGCCACGATATAGAGGCATCAGAAGTAGAGACATGAGGAAATTTTAACTGCCATCCCAATTCCAGCTTTAACTTTAGAGGTCTGGAATTTAGTTCCCCCAAACCTTGTCCAAGACAACACCATTTATTTCCATAACACTCCCTGACACTCATCCCCAGTGCTCATTGAAATACAAGATTTTTATTCCAAAGCAGCTGAAGATTCTCTTTTCCATTGTCCAAGCATCCCCCAATTATACAAGTGAAGGAAAGCTTTCAGCACATGTTTAATTCCACCTTTTATAAGTAGCTCCAATACTTATGGGCACAGTCCAAGTTAGAGCATATGTTGTACCAATGTCCTGACTCAGTTGTTGCCCTGGGGGGGGGGTGTTCAATTTAAAACAAAAAAGAAATCCTGATTGTAATCCTGAATGCGGGCCAGGATTTTAATGCAATATTTATAAGTAAGGACATTGTGGGATTTAATTATTTAAGAAAGCAACTGGTTGTGGAAATTTCAGAGAGATCGTTGGACTTGTATAAGAGACAAACTTGGCCCACTTTTCTGTGACTAATATATATAGGACAGAAACAGTGAAGGAAAAACCATTTTCTTTCATAACAGAAGCATACAATATTAAGGAAACTGAAAACTGCATTTCTAAAATTGTTTCCATTTCAGAGTCCTTCTGCCAATGGAGAATCAATATGCCAGAAGAGCATAGCCTTAAACGTTAATATTACAGAATAAAACTCATTTTTGATGGATTGATGGACACATTTTCTTAAGGCCAAGAAATAATGAATATAACCATTTTTTCCTGATAGTCTGACTTTTCCCTCTCTCTGCACAGAAGATATAGAGAATGATAGGATACCACTTGCCTGTGTATAGAAACATCCATTACTGGGCACCAAGAGGTTTCACTTGGATGCATGTCCTCACCCCCTGTCCTGGGTTTACCACAACACCCCGTATATTCATTTGTAAAGACAAGAGGAAATCAGAATACAGGAAAATGCTGTTATTTGCTTTGCTGCAGGCTCAGAAACTCAGTCAATCAAGAAAAGGTTGGCTGATGTGATGCTGGCTAATAATTCACAGAGGATTTTACTCTGTCTTAACTACAGAGTCCCTTAGCATGCTAAGCTTAAAAGCAAATCCATGTACACCCTAATTTCAACACGGAATTTTACATCATGTCACACTTGCTTTTCTTTCTGAATCAGCGATAACTAACAAGCACTTCCATAGTAATTCTAATCCTGCATATGGGCTCCATTTGAAAAGTAATAATTTAGTTACAGTTCTGACATTCAGTGATTCCTTACAGGGAGCTTGGGACATTGTTCTGGGACATCTCTAAATTCCTATGGCTCTAAGAGATTCTTCCAAGATCACAAGGTAAGTATCTAAGGTGAATTTCAAATTGAGTGTGCTTCCTTGCCAGATACCTTTGTATTCACTTTTATGCTTACAGAGAGGAATTCTGATTCCACAAATTCCCCCTCTTCCATCTTGTCTCTTTTCTACTTACCAATGAATACAAATCCCAGTATCCTTTAAAGGGAGAAAATATCATGGGACCCCAGTAAAAAGTTTGCCTTGAGGTTGTTTCCATGTTCAAAATGTTTGTACAGGGGGTCTTGGCTATGTGGAAAAACAATTCTGCTCTAATTTGAATACACCAAATAAGTGAAAGACATGACATTACTACACTTGGTTGTATGCAGTTTTACTCTGTCATGACATAATTTATGCAGAGTTTAGAGAAAAGATTGACCTTTCATTGGATGTCACACTGTTGCACACAGTGCAGCCTTATCAGACCTTTGAATGAAGAATAGGGACGAGTATTGTCAGTCTGTATCAGTGGAAAAATATGGAGGCTCTGTCTCAACACCCTCCAGTATCTTTAGTTCCATACATCCACTCTGACAAAGCCAAAATTAGTGGAAAATTAAAAATGGAAGAAAAAAACCTTTTAAAAGCAAAGGTGAAAATCAGTGTATGAATTCAGTTGGATATCAGAACTGTGTAAAATCCAGAACAACTTTGCCATCCCCTGAGATTCTTGTCAACTTACATAATATCTCCCAGGATTCGTGCTTGTAAGTGCAGAATAGAATATTGTAGTCATTGATTGTATTTTATTATTATATTCTGAGTGCTGGCTGAGGACCACTTTAGTACAGCAGACACTGAAACCTGTCTTACCCAAAACTTATAATTGTCTCGTATGGGGTTAAAGGTGCTACAACAAAACATTTTGTGCTATGTTACTGCTGGAAAGCCTCAGGCCTTTGGCAAGCTCCAGTGCACTGGAGCACAGAGAAGTGCACAGAGAAGGAACTTACCCTTAAGCCCCAAAGAGCTTACAACCTAAAGCTTCCTTAAGGAGCCTGCAAGCTAAAAGTTAATGCTACAGTATTACATGTTGATTCACAATAATATCAGCATTTGCACATCGTAATATGACTTAAGGATATGTTATTGATTTTCTTTTCTAAACATCTAAGTGATCAACATTTCTACTAAGTCTGCTCCATCTTCCATATGTTGCATAGTAAGTCATTGTGCCTCTACAGAACTGATCCTTTCTAATTCCTTTTTTAGGTTATTGCAGATCCCAGACTGTGCCAGGTGCTTTCCAAAGAACAAAGCTTAGGAAATAGCTTTGAGATCTGTACAGAAGCTCATTATCATTATGGGGTTTTTTCATCCTTCTTTATATGGAACTGTCTTTCAACTAGTGTAAATCAGCAGTTAGCAATTTACACCAAAGACAGGTCCTTTGTTAAACTTTTTCAAGCTCTCTTTTGCCCCTGTTTTGAGTGGAGGGGGATAGAGGTTCTTTGGTTGGTTTGTTTGGTTGCTTTTTCCTCAAGAAGAAACAGGCAATCTTTGCAGCTAAGAATATAGTGTAACACACTTCTGGTCAAAATCTTCTGAAACATATTCATTCTTATTTATTTTTCTGTAAACCCATAAAGATCCCAAACACTTTCTAAGAATCATCGCTGACATACACCTCAAAAAGAGAGATGAGATTTAGTGAGATCTGTTTATAGGTTTTTCTATTTATTTGGACTTTGAAGTTCAGAAACTCAAACCAAAATGTCTCCTACTCTCTATAACCTCCTCCCTTTGGGCCCTTTGTTTCCAGATCTTTAAGTTAAATGGCTATTAATGTTAATGAAAAAATTATTTTCATTTTTTTCTGTCTTAGACCAAATACTTTATTGTTAGCAGCTGCTTATTTACCTTGCAGCTCATAATCCGCTTCTTGCATCCCATAGGCCCATCATATGCTAAAATGTATGTCACCATCAATGTGGAATTTCTTACACACTTGAAAATTAATTGAAAAGTAAACGATTATCCTTTTCTTTCTTACCTACAAACACACAGACACAGAGAACATCTTAATGAAAAATGTTTTTCAACTAAGTACATTCCACTGCTAACCAGTTCATGTGGATGGGTGTCATGGTTTAACTCCACCCAGACAGCTTGTTACCCACTCCCCCCCTCTTCTTGCCCTCCCCCTACTCCTGGACTGAGCCCGGCTAGCTCAGTCGGTAGAGCATGAGACTCTTAATCTCAGGGTCGTGGGTTCGTGCCCCACGTTGGAGGGCAAGAAGAGGGGGGGAGTGGGTAACAAGCTGTCTGGGTGGGGTTAAACCATGACAATGGGGTAAAGTGGTAAAGAAGTCTCTACTTCAGAAATCCTAAGATCAAATATATCTATACATACAGGTATTTATTAATTTACTTATTACTTGTTTTCTAAGAAACTTTGTATAAACACATATTACTTAAGATGGAAAATTTTAATCATATTTAAAGAAAAGGGCTAGAAAACATTTCATCGAGCTTCTGCAGCCAGGATTTATTCTATGACCTTTAATAAATCAATTCTGGATGTCTCAGTTTCCCCATTTGTGAGATTTTTTATAATAATGACCCTAGATGAAACTTTGGCAGTTCAGAGCAGGATGGTAAACACGATGGCCCAATCCTGACCACTTTTACTTCAGGAGGTGACACATACGCCTGAAAGTAATTTTGTCAACCTCAGTAGAATTACTCAGCTGAGAAGTTTACATTATCAAGGATGACTTGTTCAATATCTGTAAAGCTTTTCAATTCTTGAGGTTTAAGGTGCCATTTAAGTGAAAATTGTTGGGTTTTTTTCTTTATGAAGGTCTTATTTTAGCCTAGACTGCTTCTTGCCAACCCAAATAATTAAGAACTATGAGAAGATGAAACAGCTGCAAAAGTTTGATGCCACTTGGCTGTGGAGGTGGGGTGGGGAATGTCTAGTTGTATAGGCATCATTTTTGCCAGCAGGGGTTTACATCTTCAGGTAAAGACTCAAGTTGATGACATTCCCAATGAAGGTGGGCAGCAAATTCCATTCAATATCTAGCTCCTATACAGTCATAACCTTGCAATATGACTCACTCTTTTCCGTAGTGGCATGCAGTAATGTTACAAGGCTATGGCAGTGTCCCAGACAAAGAATGAACTCTAAATTAATTTCTCGGTGAGAACAAAACAACATTGTGGTGAAAATTTAAGAAGTCTGAGAAAAATGCTTACCATCTCCTGGATGTTCTCAGGACTTGAAAAAATCTCCATTTTCATACTAAGAACACAAGACATTTTTCATTAGCATCTGAACAATCACACCCTTCAGATATCTGGACACACATTTTTGTTTCAATAAATACATGTTCAACTGCTTTATTAAAATGCACAGCAAAGGAATTTTGATGTAGGTCCACAGCTTCAAGACACCTCCTATGGATGGTTTTATAGGCTATTCAGAGAAAATTCTTCACTTACTAGTGGTACAAATCTACTTTTCTCTGTTTTGACAGATGCTGAATGCTACATTAGGTGCAATGCAGTGAGGATTCAAGCTATGAGACTCTCCAGTATTTTGTTTTAATAAGCCTACAGTGCTTAGTGTGTATATAAAATTATCTAGAAGTTCCCTAATTATTATTTTGTAGTACTTAATCCATTATTTTGGAGCAGTTTTCAGCTGGGCCTAGGAAGTGATAACTGCCATGATAATTCTTTTTACTTTTTCTTTAAAAAAAATCAAATTATACTTATTTTCTTCTCTTTTTGTTACCTCCCCAGATTTTCAATTACTTTTCTAAAGTATTTTTTACGGAAAAAATTGAAACTGTTACTGCTGATCTTGACAAGTAATGACACATGCCCTATGAACTAGCAGGTTTTTGTGCTCTTAAAAGCAGTCCTTTGTGGAACAATTGTGTTTATTTGTTCTTTTAATACTTTTTTCTCCAGGAAATAGTAAACTTAACTACCATGTCTTTTGATATACCAGAAACCTCTTCTTATGCTGAGCTTTCAGTATGACTTTTTATCAGTTTGGGCTCATTAGTATTTGATTATACTACTAGATTCTTCTGCTGAGCACTCAGTATGTCTATCAGTTTGTGCTCATTAGTATTTGATTATACTACTAGATTTTTATTTTTTTTAAATCCATAAGATTTATTTTCACATATTCTTTACCCAGCAAAGATCTTAATCATTTCTTTAATTAAAATCATGTAAATACTAGTACCAATAATACAAAGATGCTGGAAAAGGGACTCTACATCTGGGACTGTAAGGACAGGACAAGGGAAAATGGGTTTAAACTAAAACGGGGCAAGTTCAAATTAGATATAAAGAAGAAGTTCTTTATTGTGAGGGTGGCAGTGTTCAAGGCCAGGTTGGATAGAGCCTTGGGTGACATGATCTAGCATGAGGTATCCCTGTCCATGGCAGGGGACTGGAATTAGATGATCTTAAGATCCTTTCCAGCCCTAACCATTCTATAATTCTATGAATCTAGAATAATATCTTTGTATCATACACATACATAGATGCTTTTCTGACTATGAACTCAGTATCTTGGCCACATTGAGGTCAGTTACTCCACTGTATACCATTATAAGATTTAGATTAGATATTAAGAAAAAATTCTTCCCTGTGAGGGTGGTGAAGCGCTGTCACAGGGTGCCCAGAGAAGCTGTGGCTGCCCCATTCCTGGAACTGTTCAAAGCCAGGTTGAACGGGGCTTTGATCAACCTGATCTAGTGGAAGGTGAGTTGGAATCAGATGAGCTTTAAGATCCCTTCCAATCCTAACCATTCTATGATTCTATTCTATAAAATCACGCAACAGCTCCTTTGTTTTTCTTTACCATGATTTATCTGATCCATGGTGACAGGGTTAGACTAGGACTGTGGGTGTGGGGAAGGATAAGGCTCAGGGAAAGCAGCTAATGTCAGGCGCAGGTCTAGGATGACCAGACAGGACCCTGGGGACAAGACAGGGTATCAGCCCATGAACTGTGATGCTGTCGTACAGCAACTATTTACACACTGAATCATAATGTATAAAAATAATTCTGTGCCTCAAGAATGGGCAAAATCACATTATTTCCTACTGTATTTTCAAAGAAAAATTGAACTTTCATTTTTTAAAAGCTCTTTCAGCAATTTCAAACAAATTAAGAAATACGAAAACAAAACAAATTGGTCTTTTGTTTCTCTCACAGTTTGTTTCAGGTTTTTCCTCAGCAAAAAGAAGAAAAATCTCTTTGAGTCTACCAGCCAAGTGAAAAATCAATTAGTTACAGAGGTCTGTCTATTTGTTAGGATTAGCTGTCAAACAATGCATGCGTTTTAGTAGTTATTTTTTTTTCCCTATAATAGGACATTCCATGGACCACAATAACACTGGATTTTTTGCTTAAACTGTCCAGTTGAAGTAGAATCTGTAGCACAAGTCTTCCTGATGAAGACAAAAAAAAAAAAATAAAAAAGGAAAAGCAAGCTCATCTATGTTTAAAAAATATACATATACCTTCAGAAAAAAAAATATTTGCAAATAATCCTAGAATTATTTCTTTTTTCATGAAACCCCAAAGTTTCCCTCATTTAATGGAATCCTGTTTGGTCATTCTGAAACTCAACTGCTCACACCTGAGTTGGACATGATTATTTTTTTTCCCTCTGGTAAGAATTTGAGTAGAGGGTAAAGAATATCATTTTGTCTCCACATAGGGCTTGGCTAAGCATTGCCTTTCTCTGTCCCTCTTTTTTCTAATAGCTACAAACTCATTCTCGACCATTTCCGGTTTGTTTTCTTTTTTCTAGGATACTCCTAAGCTGCAGCCTGTTAAGCATTTTAGTGTCAATGCATTCAAGTAACCACTAAACAAGGAATTAATTCCAGTCATATACATGAATTTGCTATGTGAAGAAGTAATAACAAGTGGCCAAACCACCAGCTGCTATGAAGCAGTCCAGCTTCACTGAGTTCCGTTTGTTTCTGCTTATAACAGAGAAGACCCTGATGTAAAATGTTCTGTTGGGAGTTATTCAAGAAAAGAACCTGATGAAAAAATGCAGATTCAAGAGTAGCCTAGGGAAGGCAGCTTACAGGCAAAGGATCAGATAAAAAAGCCATCATCTCACTGCTGCCGCCAGAGCCGTTCACTATGAAAAAATAACAACAGGAAAGTTGCTAAGGAAGACAAGGAAGCACAACTTCTTGTAAACACTGCCTTGGACTAGTTAATATTCATCAGCAAATGTCAAGACCTTAAACAGAAAGTATATTTCAGGAAGTTATATGGAATACCAAGAATCAGAATAGCCCAGAAGTGTTGAACTTGGAATTCAAGGGTGAAGGTTTCTGACATCTGAAATTTCATGTGACCAGATATTCAGGTGTTAGATTGTTTTCTAATTGCTTCACTTTTTTTTTTTTTTTTTTTTTTTTAATCTGTGCACATAATCCTAACAAGCTGCTTGTGTGCAAAACATAATTTTTAATTAACACGAATCCAGTGTATTATTAATTTAGTTAATGTTGATGGACTGAATTGTGTAATAGTTAATAAAGTAGCAGTGATTGGCAGGAATAAGCCAGTTTCATTGAAATGGGACAGGATTTTACTCAAGCAAATAACAGTGGAACCCACCCTAGTAAATAACTGAGCTGAGTTGACTTAAACAGTTATAATACCAGCGTCTGTGATAAGCAATGGAAACAGTAATATAAAATGCTTTGTCATAAAAAAATACCACAGAGTTCAGAATGACATACTGCAACCCTGCCATCCCTCACATTGAAGATTGGCTGAGAAAGTTGGGGCTGTTCAGCCTGGAGAAGAGAAGGCTGCATGGAGACCTCATAGCAACCTTCCAGTATCTGAAGGGGGGCTATAGGGATGCTGGGGGTGGACTCTTCATTAGGGACTCTAGTGGTAGGACAAGGGGTAACGGGTTTAAACTTAAACAGGGGAAGTTTAGATTGGATATAAGGAGGAAATTCTTTCCTGTTAGGGTAGTGAGGCACTGGAATAGGTTGTACAGGGAGGTTGTGAATGCTTCATCCCTGGCAGTGTTCAAAGCCAGGTTGGACGAGGCCTTGGGTAATATGGTTTAGGGAGAGGTGTCCCTGCCCATGGCAGGGGGGTTGGAACTTGATCTTAAGGTCCTTTCCAACCCTAACTATTCTATGATTTTTATAATCATTATTGTTTTGGTAACAATGGGGGGTGGGGGGTGGGGGGAGGAACGGAACAGCAAAAATCTGTT